AGATGCGTACAATTTATCTTAAATAGGAACTATCGAAAACAGGAAATTACCATACTATACGATAGTCAAGCAGCACTAAACGCGTTCAACTCAGTAACCATCAATTCGAAGTTGGTCAAAGAATGCCTAGAGAAGCTCAACAAATTAGGCAAAGAAAATAAAGTCCTCCTACTCTGGGTGGCTGCTCACCAAGGGATAGAAGGCAATGAAAAAGCAAATGATCTAACTAGAAAAGAGAGAAAAATCAAAGATTTTCCTTGGTTTCTAACAGGACACTGCCTCCTCAACGAACATCGCAGTAGGCTGAAGCTGAGAAACAACGGCGAATGCAGATTATGTGGGGAAAATAGGGAAACACCAGAACACCTTATCACTGAGTGCGCCGAGACGACGACCATTCGTGCCATGAACTTTGGTACGGCTGATGTCGAGGATAGAAAGAGATGGCCTCTGTGGAGCCGTCTCAGATAGTGGCTTTTGATAAAGCCCTGAGACTGTATGATGAGTTATAGCTCGTTATAACTCAAGAAAGGGAAACACACAATAGATCTTTAAGGTCGCGGTGATTAACTCCCCAGCTAAACATTCTACATTCTACGACATTAGAACTTATATTTTGAAAAATTATTTTATGGGTAAATGGGACCTGTTATACTAAATAAAATTTTCATTTCTACACATTACTGAATATATTCCAGAAAAAGTAATAGAGTCTTTAACCCGGACCAGCTTAATAAATAAATCAATAAAATTAATTTTGATTTGTAAATATTATTTTAGATTTATTGGACTTTAAATGTTGACAGCTAGACTGTAACATTCTTCCTTCACTGTCAATATCCCAAACAATCCCGATTCATAAATTACCTAGTAATATACCGTATAAGAAAAGCAAAAAAAAACGGCGTCCAGTTGGCTTGGAAATGACGATCGATGACATTCCTTATATAATTTTACATATAAAATGACAGAGATTTTCATTTCTTCGCAATCGCTGACGTCGTCGTTTTTTTTCGATCATATATTGTAGTTATCAAAAGGTTTTATTATCAAGTATACTTCAGACGTTGGGAGAATGTCAGTTCTAATCGGAAATTACATTAAAATTTTACTATCAAAGCCTAAACTTTTTGATCATTCTGTATATTATACCTGTATTTGTTTTCCTTGATAAGTGATTTCTATCCGCCATTCTCCGGGTTCATCCGGTTTGAAGGTGGCACTATTAGTGCCATCTATCGTGGTCAACGGACAATCTAACGGTCTACCTGTAGGACTATAGGCAGTTACTAGAATATCTTCCCTCTTAGGAGCACCTAAAAAGAACACAAAAGGATCAGACAAAATACTTGGTTACGAAAAGTTATTGTGTAACTGTTAATCAATCTCTTCACAAATATATCTATCAGTTTATTACCTGTTGCATTCACCAACACCTGTACCAGTGAACCTAGTGCGCAAGGTGCCATTCCAGGTGGAGCTACTTCAACCAATGGTGGCAGGACTCGGAAATAGTGTCCAGCAAGTACTTCCTCTCCTTCGTATTTGACCACCAGCTCGTGCATGCCAATCTTAGATGGCACGAAGGATCCTCTGCCCTTGCTCAGGTGCTTGCCAGGTAAGTTTTATTATCGGGACCTCGGATTTCTACCGAAAGTTTGGAGTAAGATAGTTCGGAGTCCAATAAAGTTATTTGATAGTGAGTCTAAAAAGAACACAAAAGAAATAATTAGTATTGTATTAAATTTGTATTATGTATTGGTGAACTAACTATATTTGGAATCCAAGAACAAAGTTACCTTTGAATAAAAAGATTAAAGGAGTACATATTGTTCAGGGTTCAGAACCGGAATTCCCGGTTCTTTCGTGACATCAAAGAACCGCTACTCGAAATTATTAATTCCCGGTTTTAAAACTTTCGGGACTTGGTAATAATAACTAAAAACATATTTTTTTGTTACGTGCGAAAGACTTTATTTGATGCTTTCTAGCGGTGGAAATCAAACTCTTCTAAATAAGTAATGATTCTATCTCCTACTGTTCTTACTTCTGAAATTATTTTGAAGTTTCTATAATGTTCTTTTATATTTTTTTTCTGTTATGTGTTTATTAATGTTGCACAAGACAAGAATTCTTGTATTGAAATTCAATTTCTTGTCTTGTCTTGAAATTCAAGACAAGAAATTCTTGTCTTGCAGATTTCTTGAATGGCAAAGTCTTGTCTTGTCTTGCAAGACTCTTTAAATTTCTTGTGTTGAAAAATTTTACATTCTAACAAAAATAAGGTAATAATATTTCTATTTTTTCTGTCATAGACAGCGTCGTATACAAAATCTAATACGAAAAAATGAACAACAACGATACTAATTTTAGCAAAAAAAATCTTAACGGACCGCAAACGAACTACGTCAACTCGCCCGTTTGACGAAACAGGAGCCATTACCAAATAAAAGCTAATAAGAATATGAAGGTCATGCTAGAGTATACTATTTGCGCTATTTGATACTACTTTTTGTTCGCAGGGCAATTTCGTGCATGAAAAGTAGTACCAAATAGTGCAAATAGCGTGCTCCACGAACCCACCATTAGTTTCAACTACCGTTAGTTTTTTTAAAATACCATTATACCAATATAATTTTGTCTGTAATACCAATTACCAATATACGGTTTGTTCCTCAACTTTATTTCATTTTAATTCAAAAACACTGGCTATAATAGAAAAAAAATGAACACTGGTCAATATTAATGCCGGGTTTATACAACATTTGCATAAGTCGAAATCATAACCACAGTCTTAATCATCGTCATCATCACAACGCAATTTAAATGTGCGTTTATAGAACATTTTTATAATCATAATTTTTATATCAGTGAAGTTGGGTAACATAATTAAAGGCTATGTTCATGGTAGATGTCAACAGGTTTATAGAAGTGGATAGTTTAACTTTTATGATTATAGGATTGTGATTACGACTATGTAAATGTTGTATAAACCCGGCATAACTTGCGCAAAGACCTAATTATCACATAAAAAATGTATAATTTCTAACTTTCAAGAAATCTTGAATTCAAGAAATCTTGCAATACTCTTGAAATTTCTTGCATATTAAAGTCTTGTCTTGTCTTGAATTTCAAGACAATTTTGAAAGTCTTATCTTGAATTTCTTGCAAGAGTCTTGGTCTTGCAAGACTTTTTCAAGACTCTTGTGCAACACTAGTTTATAGGCATATTTTTATGGCATTTATAGGCATTTGCATCTTTAATTGAAAATGTTAAGTTTTTTTCTAATTTAGTTAAGTTGGTTTCGAGGTTGGTTGATGTTGTTTGATGTAATTTTTAAGCTCCCTATGTGTTTCCTTTTTTTTTCGCTTCCTTTCATTGTTCGTGTTTATATTTACTTTCTCATGACTTAATAATTTGATATTATTTTCATTTGAAACTCAATTTTTCATCGGTTTTACTTTTGAGAACCATCCCTTGCTTGCTAATTGACGAACTCCACAATCGTTGAACGAAAATATTTTAGTACATATATTTTAGTAGGTTCTGGTAACTCTAATTAATACTACCAATTAGGGTTCAGACCTTTTTGGCCATCACAGAACCGGGCCTCGGTAACAATAATTAAAAAAATACTTTTTTGTTATGTGAGAAACTCCTTTGATACTTTCTAGCGGTCGAAATCAAACTCTTCTAAATAAGTAATGATACTATTTCTTATTGTTTTTGCTTCTTTTCTCTTTTGAAGTTCCTATAATATTTATTATGTTATGTTTTAATAGATATTTGCATTTTTAGTTCAATATTTTAGAGCTTTTATCTCAAATTCAGTTAAGTTGGTTTATGTTGGTTGATGTGAAATTTAAGTTACCTCTGCTTTTTTCTTTACTTATCATGTTCATGTTAATTTTTTCATAACTGATTACTTAATAACACAAGTTTACAAATTCGGGTCAACTTTTGGACGCGAGCAGATGAGAACGATTCCTAACGTTATTTAATGCCCTGAACTCAGATCTTCAATCCGTTTGTCAAGATTGGCTCTAGTTTTCGAGTTCGCGCATGGCAGTAGTACTGACAACAAAATGTGTCCTCTGTACCACTTGTAAACCCACAGGACGTTTTATTGCCACCTCTTCACATTAAACTTGGCCTTATTAAGAACTTTGTCAAAGCGCTCAATCGCGAAGGACCGGCTGTTCAGTACTTAACCAAGTTGTTTCCAAAACTGTCATACGCAAAAATCAAAGAAGGAATATTTGTCGGACCTGTCGGAATGGCTGACGCAACGTTTACAAAATGTTTAACGCTTGATGAGGCAGCAGCATGGGCATCGTTTCAAAGTGTTCACAACTTTCTCGGTAATCATAAATCACCGGATTACAAGCAAGTAATCGACAATTTGTTGCAAAATTACCACAAGATTGGAGCTCGAATGTCTCCCAAGATACATTTTCTGCATTCACATCATGATTTTTTTCTACAAAACTTGGGCGATACGAGCGACGAGCAAGGAGAGCGTCTACACCAAGATATAGCGAATATCGAAAGGCGATACCAAGGATTTTGGGACGAAGGCATGATGAGTGATTACTGTTGGACCTAATCCGTGAAACAGATCCCAAGCAGTATAAAAGACTCAGTTCAACCTCTGTTCATTTCTGATATATATTGTTTAACTCAATAAATGACCGTTAACGGTCAAAAATATTAAGAGAATGAATTTATTAAATATTTCGAAAACTAGAACCAATCTTAAAAAATGGACTGCTGATTTGGTTTCAGCTCCAAAAATTATCTTAGAAATTGCTTTTAGTTGCTCAGGTCCAAAACCGTGTATACTTGTGTAATTTGATATTATTTTTATTAAAAATATCAATTTTTTATCCATTTTACTTTGAAAAACCATCCCTTGATTTCTGATTGATGAACTGCAGCATCATTGAACAGAAATTAGTCAAAGCCAAAACTACAAAAAAAAACGGGAAATCCCGGTTCTTAAGAGGCGCGATAACGAAATTCCCGGTTCCGAAAAACAGCTCCGGTTCCGGAAACCGTAATATTGTTATCCATATATTTATGCATTAAGTCCCGTTCTCAGAAATATGTTGTATCAAAGAACCAATGAGAGTTGCAGTAAATTTAAATTTGACAGCTGTTTGAAATTTGTACGAATCTCATTGGATCTTTGACGTGTCCCCATAGACAGAACGTAGTTCTGGGAACGACTGTTTAGAGACGGAATCGACATCATGAACCCCCAGTTTTGACAATTCTGTTTAACGTTTCGACTGACACATTTGAATTTGATTTGAAAATTGCGGATTTGTTGTGCTTTTTGGTGCTTATTTTATGGTATTTATTATTCATTCTACAACTGGTTATGTTTAGAGGTAGTAAATCTAGAAAGAAATTGTGTCAGAACTTAAATTAACAGTAACATTATTGACAGTTAGTTGTTCAGCGTGTGGTAGATTTATGGATATAAATAATTTAGATACTCTAGATCTAAATAATTTTTCCTGGTGAGTAATTACCATACGATCGAAAAAAAGGGCCTCAAAGACGGCTGGGGAATGACAATCAATAATAATCTTGGCGAGGTCAAGCCCTAGACCTCATTACTTGGCCCGTAGAGAATGTAGAATAATATACTTAAAGAACAGAGACGTTTTTGAAGAGATGAATCCGCTACAGAGGTATAGACATTTTTTTATAATTATTATAATTCAGTTAATTTTATAAAAACATATTTTTTAACAATTTAATAACATATACCGTATGATCGAATAAAAACGGTGGCTAATGGTGGCTATGAAATGAAGATCGCTGTCATTTTATATGTAAAATTATATTGGAAATGTCATCGATCGTCATTTCCAAGCCAACTGGACGCCATTTTTTTTTCGATCATACGGTATTATTGACAAAGTAAAACAAAACCAACAAATATAGAGTCTATATATTCTGCACACAAGTTTCTTGATACGATCCTTACTTAATCTTTTTATTCAAAGCAAGTTACAAAAATGTATTGGATAAAAATCAATGATATAGCAATCTGTGCGACGATTTTGTTATTACCCGGTATATTTAACGGTAATTGTATAAATTGGCAAATTTAAAATATTCGATAATTTATTAAAAACAAAAATAAATAAATTTGAGACGACTTACGGTATTATTTGAGAGACACTCAAAAATATTGACACTTTATATGTTTACCATACGCACGAACAAAAACATTTAAAAAATAAATGGTTTCTTACACAAAAGGATGTACGAAAATTGAATACTAATTATTAATAACAATGCAACATATGTGTAATAGGTATAGTTTATGATTATAGCTTGGCTTTATCTAACCACCTGGGGTTATCATCATAATATGGGGCCACGGAAAGTAAAGGTACCTATTAACATTTTTGTAAAACTATAATGCTGAAAAATTTAATTTATTCAAAACTAAAATAGATTTTTAACTAAAATACTTGGTTTGTACTTTGCGATGATCAACCTTAGTTTGTAACTAGCAGAATGGTATGAAAACTAATAAAAAATTGAAAAAATTAAAAGTGGTTTCCAGAGAAGAAAATTGGGA